TACTCACAGAAATTAGATTAAAAGACAACTCAGGCAAACTTAAGACAGATGACAATGAAATTAATGGAGTGGGGTTAACTGAGTCTGATTCAAGAACACGAGATTTTGACCCATCAGCTAAGGTAACTGTAGGTGCAGATGTGTGTGACTGAAAGGTAGAAAATAGACTAAAATTACCTGTCATATGATCTGTGGCACTAGAATCAATTACCCATTTGGAGGACGAAGACACAAGGCATGTGTTTGGTTTACCTGATTCAGCGATGGCAGTTACGGACGTAGATGAAGACTTTAATGATTCTTGATACTGAGAAAATTTAGCAAATTCATCTGCAGAGATCATAACAGACTTTTCATGGTTAATAGCATCATTGGTAGAAGCAATATGTGCGGATTAAGTTCTCTGGTTCCTGTACTGCAATTTCTTACAATCATGCTTCATATGATCCGGCTTATGACAATAGTGACACACAACCACTTCTGCATTCTGTCCCCGAGTGTCAATTCCTTTACCACCACCTTTGTATTGCTGTTTTCCAGGACCAACAAGAGCACTGCTGGACTGAACAGACTGGGTATTCTCTGTGCGAAGCACCCTACTAAACACATCTTGCAAGGATGAGATCTCAGGACGGGAAAGAATCTGAGATTTAGCAGCTTCAAATTCAGGTGAAAGACCAGTAAAAAAACTCATAATTGCCATCTGTTCCCGTTGAGTTTGCTGAACTTTTACATCAGAACTAAACGGTAATAACAGATTAACCTCCTCATAAGTTTTCTTAAAATCCATAAAATAAGTCATGATGGACTTATCTTGTTTCTCTACACGATAAAAGACTTGACACACCTCATATATGCGAGAAATATTCCTTTTACCAGAGTACAAAAATTCTAAATACTCCATTAACTCCTTAACAAATTCACAGTGATTAATTAAGCTAATTACCTCACTGTCAATAGAATTCCGTATTTGCAGGAACAATCTAGCATCTTCCCTTAGCCATGTCTGTCTTGAACCACCTTTTGGAGGATCATCAGTCAAATGATTGTCTTTATCAATGCTTCGCAGATAAAGACGAACCGTTTTGCTCCAATCAAGATAGTTAGAAATGTTGAGTTTGTGGTCCGTGATCTTAGACATTACAGGAACCACATCAGACGTAACTATAGATTTCGTTTCGGCCATGGGTTTAGAATTAACAGAAAAAAACAAAAGAGGACAGATCTGAACTCTTTAAAACGAGAGTGAAGAATAGAATACAGATATGTCCTATACAGAACCAGATGACCCGAATGATGACTAATGAATTTTCTGGCAGCGGACAGAGACCCTAACCTTGATGGTAGGGCTCTGATACCATGAAAACTAAGACAAAGGGAGAGAAAATACTCTTTTTCATATCTTTGGACTACACAATATACATATATATATACACAAGTGTAACTTAATTTAGATCCTAAAATCATGCTAATCTAAATCAATCTACTACCTAATTAATACATGATACTATAATCATATGATACCTAATTAATACATAATACTATAATCATATCTTTCCTAATATTTACAATATCAAATCTTTCCATAATATCAGATCACATATCTTCAACAGTACCTAATTGTCAATTCGGGAATCAGGGGGTTGTTTTGCTAAAGGATAGCCTGAAATTGATTTTGCATAATTTGAAAAAGGAAACTTCGAGGGATATGGTGGTTGCTGGCATGCTGGATGCACTTCCAAATAAAATAATGAACTTTTCTGAGAACCTTGTTTCACCCAGTTGCTGCTGGGATGGAAAGCATAACCAGGAGGATAAAAGTTAAATTTTGATGCTCGATGAGGTAAAACTTTCAAGTCTATTGATTCATGTGACCTTGCTTTTATTTGGAGTAGTCATCAAGGCATTATATGTATAGATGACTACATAGTTATCTCATACACTTCTTCAGAAAAGCTTGGATATCGTATTGATTTAAGTTATGGTAGATCCAAACACATAGACAAATTAAAGTAGATCTACTGCATTTCAGCTAAATTCATTGAACCAAAAGTATTTTAACAGCGAAATGCCTACTTAGCATTTTGGCTCTCAGTCAGGTGAATATTTTAATTGCTGTTTCATTGGAGGACAATTAGATTCTTTTTGTAGCCACTTCAAGTTATCAAGGTGATTGCTATCTCTCAATGCTTTGCCCCAAAAGACGAAAAGAAAGCTAAAAGTTGTTTTTCTATCTTGGATCGATGGGACCATGTCCATTTGCAGATTCATCTTCGTGTAGAAGTCATTCTACCAGATGTTTTCGCATTTTTTTTTTTTATATTTCAGGTTAAATTATAGAAGCATCTGTTTTACTTAATTTCTCCTGTTTTTGGATATCCAATCAGCTCAAAAGTAGTATCAAGGTGCATCCTTGAACCAAGTTTGAGCTGCTCTAGATTAGGTGAATATCTTGCCTGACTTCCTGAATGTCCAGATATGCCTGACTAAAAAGTGCAAATAACCGCGAGAATTTGTCTTGCAGAATACAGAGGTTCAGTTTCTGAATGGGGGTTTCCATTTCATTTTAATCTTCCTGATAACATTAACTTCGTAAGCATCTCTGAAGCATTTCTTGGTGTTTTAATTGGTTGACTCAGTCGAAATAAAGACTTTCAATTCAGCATGCAAAAGAATATTTTGCTGATTTTTTATTGAGATAGTATTGAAGAGTTTAGGAGATGAAGGTCACATAAAGGGGTTCTAGAAATTGAATGACTTGGTGTTGAGAATGCATTTGGCCTATAAAGAAATTGAATGACTTACTAATGTCAAAGTTAATGTTCTTTTATCTCTTTCTTTTCTGTTGATGTCCAAGTTATTATCTCTCCTTCAGATTTCCTTTATTTGGTGATGCAGCATATGCAAGTTTTAACGGGATGTCATTGAAAGAAAATGACTTCAAGGCAAACTCTGAATACTAGATATGACCTCAAAATAATAGAGGTCAATGTCGGCCAGTGAGACGATGGTGGATAAGCTTTGTCGTTGAGAGGGAAATAGCTCGGATCACCAGCTAAGGCCCCTAAATGACTGCTTAGTGATAAAGGAGGCACGGGTGCAGAGTCAGATAGCCAGGAGGTTTGCCTAGAAGCAGCCACCCTTGAAAGAGTGCATAATAGCTCAAATAAGATGGCTTCTACTGTATGCTGGTCAAGTTGAAGGCAAGTCAGTAGCCTAGGTTGTGTCTTGCATTAGAATGCGTTCACTAATCAAACACGCTGAACAACTTTCTCATGCCAGCAAATTGAGCATTTTACTCCTTGATGTATCTTTTAAATCCAGTGTCCTATATTTTTTCCTTTTGCATTCAGATTTTCTCATTATTTTCATATGCTTGAGTTTTCTTATGTATCTAAGAGATTCATGATTTCAATCAGCACAGCTCCGCACTAAAACTAATTGGTTTACCCGTCCATGGATATGAATCTTTTACTACGGCAAGTTGGTGAAATATTGCCCTCATTCAGTGTAATGTATGATGGTCGTAACCTTTATGGCAGGTACTTGCAAGAAATTTATACATAGAATTGCTTTTCCTTCTTTCCTCAGTTATCAGGTTCCTTTATGAGATTTCACCGACTTATAAAGCTCTGCAGCATTTGCTTGCTTCCATTTTGCATTGTATGTATGACCAGATGAGAAAGCACCGTACATGTTTGCTTTGATGCAGCTGCATTGGTCAGCACATCCTACAGAGAAACATTATGAAGCAGGGACAGAACTACAAATTGCTTCAATGTCCTGATTATGAAGTATATGGAGATTCACCATGCGTGCTGCAGATGTGGATTTACATTGACCGAAACTTAAAAGAATGAACAATGCTACTTTGTAGTAACACTTGTGCGGGAACTTGATAATCGAGTCACAACGTCCGTCAACTTCTTCCACAATACTTTTTCTGTTTGCACTTGAATTTGATGTTTTCGTCACTCTCATCTCTTTTGTAGAAAGCACATGAACGGCAAATTTATGCTGCATTAACCCTCCAGTAGGAAACTTGGGACCTAGTACTGTGCTCAACAGACTAACATGCCCACATATTCTAGTAGTAAACTTGGTAAATTGATGCTGCAGTAGCATTCAAACATAGCTAGCATACAGCCACCAGATAAAAACTTGATAATATTACACGGCTAATGCTCACCAATTGACCACTCTTTATACGTGGGGGCGTTTGTACTCCTGAATTCGAAGGTGATGCGGACGAGACCCATGGTGTTCAAGTAGACCATAGGTTGTTGGGCTAATATTCGGCCAAGTGAAGGATTTGCGCTGGCCGAATTTCTTTTGTAGTTTCCAAGCTTTATTAGGGTTTAGTCAAGGCTATAAATAGCCTTAAGTCATGTTTTACATGTAGTTTTTGCGATATTATTAATAAACCTTCAGAATTTCGTCTTGCATTAAGGCAAATTCCTTTAACTTGTGAAAGCTAAGTTGAACATCCTAGCGTGGTTCCTAGGTTGTTTATTGACTTATCAATCAAGCGATCACACTTGATTGTGGCATCCTCCACCGTTGAATTCGTTCTTGAGTGGTCCAAATTGGATTCAACTCCATCAATTCGCAACGTGTACTCTAAGATCCAATCTTTGCTTCCGCGTCTCACATCAGAAGGATTCATCTAGCCCATCTCGTCTGTGCCCCCCAAGTGGAAAATGTGGCATAATCCTATATGTTGCTACACTAAAATAAATAAAAATTACCAAATCAGATGCACCTTAAACAAATAAAAAACAGAGTCCACAGTTCTATCGCTCATTATCTCTAACTTGCTATCTTTGACTGAACTACAAAAATGTGCTCATAATAGCCATATCTTACACGTCGTCCCAACTTTGCGCCTTAATCTGAATTTCAAGAGTATGCTATTTAAGCTGCACTTTTAAGAAAGGTCACAAGCAATTTTGTCCCCTTTGAAGCTTTGGACATCTGGCTTTCAAGGACCACCCTTTATCAGTAAATTAAATTACATCTGACATTGATGTGTAGGCGTGATACATGAGTATCTACAATCTGATTATAAAGCACTTTAGAAAGGAATTACTGCATCTCTATCTCACCAGAAATTCTGTCAAGATCTCAAAGAAAAAGGAAAAACACAGCAGCTATGTCGGATTATACTCCAATTTTGCCCCAAGAGCTCATCACCGACATACTCTTGCGCCTCCCTGGAAAATCCATAGGCCAGTTCAGGTGTGTTTCTAGGCCATGGCTCTCTTTACTCTCCGACTCACATTTCATCAAATCCCATTCAACACTCCTGAGCAGCCATGACCCGGGAAAGTTCATCCTCGTTTCTGACTCTGATCACACCCTTCACACAATAACTTTAACTCCCAGCACCAGCACCAGCAGCAACACCAGCAGCACCAGCCGCCAAGATGCCGTTGCAAGAAAGATCAGTTTTCCACAGTGCCCAGACAAGTGGGAAACAGTGGTGGGTTCATGCCATGGTTTGGTCTTAGTACGAACTGATGAACGTAGCTTGTATTTGATCAACCCCACAACTTTGGAGAGAGTAAAAATCCCAAGTTTTCCTTTGGCTTTGGACCCTTCTGCTAGTTTTAGCATGCACGGATTTGGCTATGATGATTGGACCGATGATTATAAGATTGTTACGCTTTCATACTATGACACGGACAATGAACACGAGCCTGATTGTGCTGATACTTTTGTTGACGTTTATAGTGTAAAGACAAGAACTTGGAAGAGATTTGATCCATCTCCTTATGATCATGCTGTTCCTGATCTTGCCTCAGGGGTATTCCTCAATGGGGGTCTTCATTGGTTGGCTTCTGATAGATCTGAAGGCTATCCATCTGTTATTGCTGTTTTCCTTTTGGATGGCGAGGATTTTGAGGAAGTGCCACCTCCTAGTAGTCTTGATAGAGGTAAATTTGTGTTTAACAAGCTCGTGGTTCTTGAAGGATGTCTTGGAATTGTTGTCGATAATTATAATGATCAGGTAGATGTTTGGGTAATGAAACAGTATCGAGTCCAAGAATCCTGGACAAAGTTTACTATTAATGTACATGAAGATACTGATATGCTTAAACCTATATGTAAATTGCGGGACGAGGAGATTGTTTTGGAGAAGGATGATGAGAAGTTGGTTTTGCATAGTTTGAGAGACGGGATTTCAAGGGAAATGGTGGTTGCTGGTCTTCCAGATACGTTTGAACATGGAGTGATGACCTTTTCGGAGACCCTTCTGTCGCCAAATTTCTATAGTCTGAATGCAGAAATGCATAATTCTGAGGGCCAAATTGAAGCTTGATGCTGTACAAGGTAAAACTTTCAACTTCTATGACTTGCTTTTATCCTAGATTTGTCATGAAGGATTAGCAGTACGTTAATGACTTGATAGTTGTCCAATGCCCTACTGAGGAGAGCTTGGATATGTATTGGTTAAACTTTTACTAATAGTTGCAATCAAATTAACTCCACTTTAGATCATTCATGTATAGCACTCTGAAAAGGAGAAAGGAAATTAATATAGAAGTACCTGATAGAAGTGCTGCTTGTACATGTGAATATCCTATTTGGCTTTGAGGTTATACAGTTTGGTGATACTATAATGAATTAATCATTTTATGGAGGACCAATTGATTAGCATACAGATTTGGAAGACTATTGGTTTCTTTGTGACGCTGGTGCATGTTAAGCAAGGCCATTTGCTAATCGCTGATGCTTTAATGCTAAACTTGAAAAAGAAAGCTTGAGAACAAATGGGTACTGAGAAGATGATCAAATTTGTTTGGAGAAACCAAAAAGCATGAAGCCGCAAATTAGGATTTCGTAGGTAATCTTCACTGTATGTCACTTATGCTGCATAAGCAAAATCCAATTAGTCAGAGACACTCGTAATCGAGTTTCCACATCTCAGTATATTCTTTGTCTGATTTCAACCATAACCTTCATATGTCTTTCGATATGGTACAAATGTACTGCTATACCTGGACAACAGATGGTAGATCTCTAAGAATGAAAGTAGAATCTGAGTTATTCACCTAACAATCGTTTTCTTATGGACAACAGATGGTAGATCTCTAAGAATGAAAGTAGAATCTGAGTTATTCACCTAACAATCGTTTGCTTATGGTAATGGATACAGCCTGTCATTCCTATTTGTGCTGGTGGCCTTATTTCAGCCCCACACCAACCTTAACCCTCTGAACTCTAAACATCACCGCTGGCACAGCATCTCCATGCCACCCATTGTGATACAGAAGTTTTTTATTTGGAGTCTCAAGTAAAGAATTAAGAAGTTTGGAGTGGAGTTGAGAAGGTTAGGGAAGTGGGATTGGAGTGTAGTTAAATAAAGTATTGGAAGACGTAAGTTGGTAGTGGGATTCTACCATTCAAGAAACTTTTTACCATTTCCTTATTTCTTTCCTTCTTCTTCCTCTGATTCACTCTCATATTCTTCTTCTTTCTTCCAATCAAAGAGGGTTTTTGGAGGATAACAGTCAAGTGACTGGTGAGGAAATTGGGAACTCTTCTTTGTTTACTATTTAAGGTAATCCCTTTCATGTTTGAGTTGTTATAGCTTTATTTGACGAAAGTTTGATGGATAAAAAGTGAGTTTTGTGTTTAGATCATTATTTGGGTTTCAAGTATATGGCTTAGTTGCATATGGTTTTGATGTATTTGGGAATGAATATTTCTCTACATTATTAAATTTGTAAGATTAAGGTGTGATTGTGGAGTTGGTTATAATTAAAGCATTGGTTGGTACCCTGAATGTGCGGCTATGAGATATAGTCGGAAAATTTGAATTGGTTTATGTAATTGGCTTTGTTACATGTTGGTCTTAAGTTATTGTTGTCATTTGAAAACTTGGTTGGAAATGGAAATTAAGGTTGCGTGGTTTGCGGCTGGAATAATCGCTGTGTATCTTGGTAATGAACTTGTAATTAAGGATTAGACATGGCAGATAGAATGGATTCTAGATAATTCACATTTAAGAAAAACTTGGATTTCAATAATTTCGCGATCACAGTAAGCCTTGTACAATTTTAAAGAACTGGTTATAACTTGGTGTGGAAATATCAAAACTGAGTGATTTTGGTTGCATTTGAAACTAGATTCATAGATCTTTCTAACAATATAAAATTCAGATTTTGATTCTTTCCCTATTGATACCAGAAAATTGGGAAATTGACTAAAATTCTGGTTCTGCTCAGTACCGTACTAGAAATGTCCCGACTCTTGAGCAAAAATAGGTCAGTTTACATTTCGAGTCACATAATATTGTCTTTTTAGGGATTAGTATTAGGAATCTAATTTTAAAGCTACTAATTTTGTAACTTTCGATGAACATAGCTTAAGTCATATTTGTTTAACTAAGGACCGGTAAAGTTGAAAATTACATGTAACAATGTTGCTTTGAACTAGTTTCTCACCCTACAGGTGTGGAAAGTATGTTTCTATGTTTCTCGTTTCATGGGTCTCGAATTAACTAATTTGAGATTGTTTACAGGTAGGGAGGACATACTACGAAGATTACTTGAGTTAAGCTGGCTATTGGTTTATTTGGCTAAAATAAGTGGTTTTGATACTTGCTACATTTCCAACTCAAAATTTTTGAATAAAAATGATTTCAACTGCTTATGTTAATATGAAATATGATATGGGTAAGAATACATTTATTTCTTTTGATATATAAAAAGTTATGATAAAGATGAATATGATTTGCTTTTGAATTATGAATGCAATGTATATTTTGCACTGTGAACTCGTCGTTTCTTGGTTAGTGTTTTTGAATCTAGTTCCACCACTTTTATCTGTTCAGCCTACCTAGCAGGACAAATAGTTAGAAACCTTCCGCCTTCCGCCTTCCGCTTGGCTGCCATAGCCGGACAATTACTTAGGAACTTTCTGTCGGCCTGGCATACCTAGTGGGATAAATAGTTAGAAGCCTTTTGTCTGACCTACCTGATCGGATAAATAGTCCGGATTGGATATCTGGTTATTGATAGGGTTAATCACATTTAATCCCCTTAAAATATATCTCTTTTTTCAGTTTACCCTCTAACCTTTAATTTTGCTCACTTAACCCGCTATAGGACAAAATTGTCCTTGCATTATTTTGACTTTTCATTTATCTTGTTTTTCTTTCTTTTATTTCTTTTTCTCTTTCTTCTTTATTTAATTTTTCCTCTTTTCCACAAAAATCTTCACCTTAATGACTAAAATTAAAAAAGAAGAATTGCAGAGATTTATCTTCTCTTTAAATGATTAAAAAATTTATTCAAATCACTTTCTTAAAATACAATTTTTTTAGCCTTTCAATTCTTTTAATTTTGGATTTTCCTCTTTCCTTTCTAGTTTCTTATTTTATTCTTAAGAAAATATCATAAGATAAAATTGTTTTCCTTTCTTTTATTTCTTTTTCTCTTTCTTCTCTCTTTCATCCTTCCCAATAGAAAATTTCATTTCAACGAAAATTTTTGCTTTGAGTTTGTAATTACATATTTCTGGGTGAAGGTTTAAAAGGCATCAAAAACTAATTTTGATTTTTTGTATGATGCCACGTGTCACAAATTTTAATTGATGATTATTAATCAGGTCACAATTTCATTTTAAGATATTTTCTTGGGAGTAAAATGAAAAACTAGAAAGGAAAGAGGAAAACCCAAAATTAAAAGAATTGAAAGGCTAAAAAATTGTATTTTAGGAAAGTAATTTGAATATTTTTTTAATCATTTAAGGAGAAAATAGATCTCTGCAATTCCTCTTTCTTAATTGCAATCATTAAGGTGAAGATTTTTGTGGGAAAGAGGAAGAATTAAATAAAGAAGAAATAAAAGAAAGGAAAACAAGGTAAATAAAAAGTCAAAATAATGCAATGGCAATATTATCCTATAGGGGGTTAAGTGAGTAAAATTAAAGGTCAGAAGGTAAACTGAAAAATGGGGTATACCTTAAAGGGATTAAATGTGATTAACCCTAAAATTTATTGTGATATTAGCTTACTCATGCCAGCAGACAAGTACCTGAGCTACTTATTGGACAACTGATTTGCTTCCTGCATTTGTTAATATTTTCAGAGGAGGATGCATTTTATGAAGAGGCATATGATCAAGTTTGAGGGCTTCTAAAATAGACTAAAGACTTGTTTAGATCAACCTTACTTCACTCGTTTTTTAGGTAACTTTCGTATGTAGAATTAGATTATGACAATGAATGACTGAATTTTGTATAAGAGGTTAAATTTGGAAATGATCATGGTTATTACCAATCACTTACAAATATAAATGATGGGAAGATATAGAAATTAATATATACAAAATTGTAGTTATTTTGATTTTAATTCTATATAGGACGCGGTTATGCCCCGATTTTGGAGCGTGACATCCATCACCGCCCATATGCAATTCTGGTTGTAAGTCGTAGTTTTCACTAGCATTTCAAGTATTAAAGAATTAGTTAATTGTGCTGGACAACAATACATCGTGTGATTCTGTGTCCATCAGGAAAAACTGTCGAGTCAAAAAATTTCGTGGGCATGGCTCCATGTCTTCACTAACAACTTATAACCAACGCACTATTACGGTTCAGTGCAAAATCCAGCCGCCAATGTAGTGTGTTTTCGAGGCATGGTGCTCTCTGCTGTCAGACCCCTACTTCATCAAGAGAAGAAAAAACAAAAAAGAAAAAGAAAGATCACGGCATACATGATCCCTCTTCGTTACTCAGATTACTCTTCTAACCGTAACTTTCACTGTCTACACCAAGAGCGACAATGTGTCCCTTCCCCGAAAGAGATGATTTTTTCTGCCGAACCGAGACAAGTTGTGCCAATATGGTCAATTCCTGTAATGGTTGGTTTTAGCTGTAAATCATAGGACATAATAAGTTTTTTCATAAACTCTGTAACTTAGAGCTTGTTAAAGTACCAAATTTCTCTCCATCTCTAAATCAAAGAAATAGTTTTAGTTAGTATGATTTTCGTTGTTGACAAGGTTTTTACTTCACCAAATTTGTAAAAAAAAAGAAGCTAAACACTCTGTTTTCTATAAGTATACAAATCTTTTATCGAGCATTTGGAGATATTAGGTGTTGATTCCATAGAAATGATTGTTAACTATTAGTGGCATTTGAACTTCTTTATTATTTAGACTATCACAAGTAAAGCAAGTAAATGTATACCACTAACTTGTAACAAAAGTAATAAAAATGATAAAATTCTGGTTCTTGGCATTACGAAATTCTGAACCACACTTGCAAGTGAAAATTATTGGGCAATTAAGTTTATTATCTAGCAATTGCCTGGATGGTGAAGTTCTGTAGGTCCCCCCTTAGGTTGAGTGAGACTCTCTTTGGTGTGCGCTGAGTGTAGTTTAACTTTTCCCCTGTAAATGTCTATTGTTGAAAAAAATTAAGTTTATTATCTTGACTAGTTATATCATAATTTTCAAATACATGTGATACACGTTTTTGTCAATATTCAACCATATCTATAACTACTTAACACCTATTAATATGATATGAAATTAGTTATAGATTCATTAAATTCCATAAAATTACATGCAACAAACTATTAAAGCCGCAAAGGTATAACCCTACATTAGTGAGTTAATTTTCTGGGTTGAACACTTCCATGAACTAGTATTCAATCACAATGATTATTGATGAAACAACACCTCTAGATAATCACAACTAACAGCCAATTAATCATAATTGTAATAACAAAAGTGCTAAATAACGTGCTCAAGAAATAAATACAATCAAGAAAATAAACTCAAATAACCATGAAAACTTCACTTAACAATCATTGAAGTTGATCCACTCCCTTGGCTTACAAACAACCAAAATATAGAAGTTAAGAAAACAAAAACCAAACATGTATTATAACTAATGTTTTGAAACTCTGACTATTAATTAAATTGGTGAAGTGACCAAATCGAGGTTCAACTGATCAAACTGGTTCAACCTCAATTCTATATATATAGACACACACACAGAGACTAGTGGATATAATAAGATATCCCATGGACCCATTTAAGACATCACCTAAAAAAAGTTAAATATTTTTTAAACACTAATTAATTTTTAAAATTGTAAATTCAAACCATATTCTGAAATTAAACAAAATGCATTGGAACTTCTGAAATTAAACAAAATCTAATAGAACTACAAAAGAATATGGTGATCTTTGAGTTTGAAGATGAGAAATAGAGAGAGTTTGGCTACTCTTTTAGAAATTAGGGTTGGGAACAAAAGATTTGACAGATAAGTTTTATGTTTAAAACTTTGGGTTCATTAAAAAAAGATGGGAAAAATGGCAAATTGCGGCTCACGAGTCAATCCGGGTTGAACGGTCCAATCAATTTTTTTTAGTTTTGACCGATTTTTATGATAAGTCAACACTAGTAGTGAATCGGACCGCAGACTTGGCCAGTTCAGTTTGATTTTCAAAACATTCATTATAACTAAGCATGAAAATCAATACAAGAAATAAAGTAATAGAAAGATGTCACCTATGTCATTGAATTCCAAACTCTCCATTTTTATTCTCAACTTCATCTATGTCTAACTACATACAAGGATTGGATAAAACTAACTCTACTAAATTGTACTATACTAATGAACTACGAAATTTTAGTAAAACACCACATTTTGTATAGTTTATCTAGACTCCAAAGTTAAGCAAAAACGTGTCTTGAATGACCTATTTATAGAAGAATCAAGGTCCAAAACAACTTGCTAAAGTTGATGCAAATTACTTCTTGAAATGACCAAAAGTTGATTCTACAAGTCTCAATGTTTTCTTAGGCAGTTTCCACCAAAATTTGATTAGAAAAATGGTCCAAAAAGATTGTGTGAACAAGATTTTGACATAATGTATCAATTCATGTGCAACTTTGCTCGCTTTTTTTGGAACCGATCAATATCATTAAAATCAGACAAAACTATAGGCAAATTGTCAATAATTGGTCCAATATCATAGAAAACATCATCTTCAGACTTAATAGGTTGAATGACTGATAATACATCTCCTTCGAGGACAAAACTTGGAATGAGCAGGTTATTTGCAAAGATTAAATTTTCCTTTGCTGCAATAGCTTCTGTCACGTTAGATTCTACAATTCCATGGAATTGTTTTGACAACTCAGCTATAAAACAGCCTGTATGATCACGAATTACTATCCCAATATCATAAACTTGCTTCGCTCTGGAGATTGCACCGTCGAAGTTGACCTTATACTGGTTTGAAGGTGGTGCTGACCAGCGTATTGTTGATGATTGCTCGAACATTTGTGAACCATGAGTATTGGCATCTTTAAATGCAGCAAGATAGTTGGACGAGAAATAAACTATTGATAGTGTATCATGTCTTTTCCGAAATCAAACAGGGTGGAATTTCTATTGCTCCAAATCTCATGACACAGAACAGCAAAAAAAATCAGAGTCCGCAGCAGGCAAAATTCTAATAATTTCCTTGATCCAAAGAGTGACACTACTATGATGACATTATTGATCTTCCTCTAGCAAGTGCCCAGATTTGTGTGCATATTGAACGAAGGAAAAATGTGTGGAGGAGATTGCCACCTGTGTCATTGCACAACGGATAGGTCAGATCAACAAGCAACCCGAATCTTTGAAGATTATCTGTTGTTGGCGGAGAATCACGGCAAGCTTTCCATAAAAAATGCTTAATTTTATTTGGCAAACAAAGTGACCAAAGCTTCTTCCAAATCTTATCATGACCCGTACTCGTAGTTGCCTTGA